CCATCTTCCAGTATGGAGTGTAGGTCTACTTCCAGCTCATTTGCCTCAGTCACTTTAGCTCGTTTCTGGACAAGTGCAGATATATGGTCATCTGCTTCTATTTTCTGGGCATCTTCAGGGGTTATCTGTGGCCTTAATACTTAGATGGGTATGTATTTTGGTATTTTTTATGCTTTCTGAATGTCTCCAGGTAGCCGTGATCAGGAAATGGGCTTCCCTTTCCACTCTTCTTCCTGAGAAGTTTCAAGATACCACTGTTGGTTGTTTAGACGTAACTTAGGATTTAATTTTCGGCCTATTTCCTCTTTTGTCTGCTTGTCCCGCTCCACAATCCCCGTTCAGGCCTTTTTTCTAGTTGTAAACAGTTCAGGGCCGGCTGTGGCCGTTTGGTTTTAATTGGAAACTGTCTCTTTAAATTTCAAGGCGATCTGTGCGCATGCGTAGAACCCTCTGAGGGTGGGGCTGGGGTGCCCAGTAGCTCAAACACCCCTATAGTCACCAGAATGGAGGTGTGCAGACAGCAAGGGACCAATGAACAGCTACCAAAAGAAAACAATGTCCACACCTTTATCTCGGCGGTTCTGCCAGGCGTCTGTGGCTGCTCCAATCCTTCCCCAACGTGGTCTCACCCAAGATGGCGGCTCCTGGAGCAGCCGAGCGTCCCGGACTAGTTTCTTGCTTCTGCCACAAATTCCCCCAGCTGTATGTGGTTCAGAGTTCTGGGACCATCCGCTGAGCCTGCTTGGTCGGGTATTCTGTGTTTTTGTTGGCGTAGCTTTGTACTACACATCCACCCAATCTTCACATATTTTGTGTTCCAAAAAATGGATGTTTTCAGCTGTTTCTTCTCATTTTGTGTTATGGCACATCAGTACATAAAGTCCTGAGAGCTTTATCCTACACATGCCACTGACGTTGACTCTACTATGAGGAGGTATTCTGATTGTGTTCTAACCTGAAGGACTCATTTTCGGTACTATATCAGCAATGATCCACGCTATTCAGAAGGTGGCTACTGTTTTTAGAAGTGGATCACCAAGTCCTCCTCCTGATCAGTCTTAGTCTAGAAGCTCTGCTGAAATATGCTCACCAGGGGTGACTCTGCTGGTTTTAAAAATACCAGTGGCATAGTTTCTAGCATCACATCAATATGTAAGCTCCCAAAGTATGACAAACAGGTGGTAGCCAGCAATTCTACTCTCAGGTATATACCCTAGCAATCTAATAGCAAGACATGAATGCATATTTATGTGCACTGCAGCATTATGCACAATAGCAAAATGATGGAAACTACCTAAGTGACCATCAATAAGATATGTATATGTATAAACAAATTGTGGTACACACATACAATGGGATACTATGGAACTAACTATAAACAGTAATTATGAAATCTCAATATCATAGTACAGTTGAATCTGAAGGATATATGTTGAGTAAAATAAGTCAAAATAAGTCAATCATAAAATGACAAGTATTATATAAGCTCACTTTTTTACATAAAAAAAGAATACAAATACACTTAGAAAACATTCTTTGGTGGCTACAATTATTTTTGTGGCTACCAGTTATGGGAGGGGGAGGAAAGAAAAATCACTGTCTAGATAATTGTTAGTAGTCCCATTCTTATCTGAAGGAGTTGTTAAGTGCCATCAAGTTTGTTCTGAATCATAGCAACCCTATATAGGGTTTTCAAGGAGCAGCTGGTAGATTTGAACCACCAACCTTGTGGTTAGCAGTCCAGTGCTTATCCTACAGGACCACACCATTACTCCTCCTAAAGAGCAGAGGTGATGATTGTGGGCTGTAACTGACTCAAAGCGACCCTATATCAGGTTTCTAAGGCTGTAAATCTTTACAGGGACAGGAACTCATCTTTCTCCCATGGAGCAACTAGTAGGTTTTTACTGCTAATCTTCTAGTTTAATCAGAGCAGCCCAACTCATAACCTACTACTCTACCAGTGCTCCTTCTCCTAAACAGTATTGTTAAGTGTGGTCGAGTCAGTTTCGACTCTAGCAACACTGTATAGGGTTTGCAAGGAGTGCCTGGTGGATTTGAACTGCTGACCTTGGAGTTAGCAATCCACTGTTTATGCCACAGTGCCACATCAAGATTAAAGAGAAAGAATCACTAATTTAAAATAAATAGCAATATACCTAACAATATAACAGAAAATATACTTTGAAAAAATTACATACTTACTGTGAATTTACTAACTCCCTCAAGTTCTCCAAACCGCATGTAAGAGATATCTGCCTTCTTTTTTCCAACATCTACATCCCCTGCATAGATCTGTTTTATGCCTGCACCTTTAATTAAAGGTACACACTCATCACATGGGCACTTTGTCACAAAAATCATGCTTCTTTCTTCTGGCTTGATTTCCTGACACCTACAAAAAAAAAAAACCAATGTTAGGAAGGTAGTTTCTAAAAGTGTTAAGTTTACAGAAATCTATAAACTAATTAAAACTGAGCTGCTTTAAAAATAAATTTACATCGTAAACAATAATCAGGCCTTACTTTAAATTAACATGGTGATTATAACTAAAATTCATTTATGGATTGTGTTAACTAGAAAAACATTCAATATTAGATTACAAACTAATTGAAAATAGAGACATATCAAAAGAGAAAATTCTGGGAAGATGGCGGTATAAACAAACCATCCTTCCAACTGCCCCCCCAGCCACATCCACACAAATACAACAAGAAATCCAACAAGTAAACTACGCTTGGCTTTGAGGGACTCTGAATTGGGGTGGAGAAGAAAGCAATGAGGAACTGTAGACAGGAAAGAATCAACAACAAGAGTAGCTACTGAGGCTGCATATGCATAACTAAACTTGCCTTGGTTTGGAGGTTTAGGATTTTGGTTTAAGAACATCTGTTCAACTTCCTAGTCCATTGCATAACAGGGTCTTAAAGCAGGGTCTTAAAACCTTGCAAGTAGCCATCCAAGGCACAATTAATCTCTTTCATCTGGAGCAAAAGCAGAAGAGTCAGAAATAAGAGGACTATATGGAATGTGTGGTGACTAACTGCCTCCTTTGCCATGAAACCAGAAACACTGGCTGGTGCCTGGCTACCATTAGTGAATATTTTAATCAAAGATTCCACAGAAGAATCCTGATCAAAAGGGGAAAAAAACACATAACATAGGATGGTGGCTAGGGTGGAAGTGCGTGAATTTTGCCATCTGCAATACCACTGAATACAAGAAAAAGCAGATCCAGGGGAGAGCTCCAAAACTCGGAACCACAGAGATAAGAATATTTTTAAAGTTTGAAGGCTTATAGCTTGTGGAACTTGGAGCTGAAGTAAAAAATCGCGTACTTTTGAATCTGCTGGGCCAGGCTTGGAGGCCCGGGGAGAAATCTTGGGCAAGATCAAACGGCAAGACCAAGCGGGGGGAGCAGAAATACCACAGAAAAACACTGCGGGAACCTTGGGGCAAAGATGGACAATACACTTTGTCAGTTTTGCTTTGTTCTGATTTTCTTTTGGTATCTGGTCATTGGCACGTCCACTGTTTGCTCACCTCCATTCTGGTGACTAGAGGGGGAGCCTGAGCAAGTGGACAACCCCCCACCCTCACCACTGGTGGGTTCTTCTGCCACACATGTGCACAGATACTCAGCCCAAGAGCAGGCCCTGAATGTTTCTTATTTGTTTGTTTTTTGTTCTGTTTTTTAATACGGAAATGGGCAGGACAGGGCTGTAGAGAAGGAAAGAGTTTAAAAACAAAACAGTCCGAAAATTAAATTAAAGCCTGAGGTATAGCATAACAACCAACACTGGCATCTTGAAATCTCTCAGGCAGCTTTGAAAGCAAGAAGCTGAAGAGAGGACATTAAAATCATACTCATATTAGGCTACAAATTTTTTTTTTGTCTTTTTCTTCTCCCTCCTCTGTGATTAGAGACTGCAGTATTCAGTCTAGTTTTTGTTGTTGCTGTTTTTTAGTCTGTTTTTCTTTCTTTCTTTCTCTTGTTTTTTTTTTTTTTGCTGGTGCTGTTTTACTGTTATATGCCTCCCCCTTCTGCCTTTGGAGGACTCTTTGTCTCTCTATATTACACAAGGAAAGTCAGCAACTGCTGCCATATAGACAAGCTACAATCATATTCTATAAAACACAAAAACTCAGGCAAGAACCAATACCAACTGCCATATATACCAGGGAAACAGACAACACCTGCGAAAGTTACTCTGCATTAAGCAATAAGAAGAGTGAAAAGGGAAACCCACATCCTGATCACATCTTCCTGGAAGCAATCAGAAAGCATAAAAAATACCAAAAAAACCCCAAACTCAATTAAGTATTAAGGCCACAGTTAAACACTAAACATGTCCAAGAAGCAAAAGCAGATGACCATATGAGCACATGTCCAGAAACAAGATAAAATGTCTGAGACAAATGACCTAGAGGTAGACCTGGACTCCATTCTGGAAGGAGGGCAGGCCTTGGAAATGCCTGAGAAGGAATTCAGAAAAATGATTATAAAATGTTTCAAAACACTTTACAATGGAGTTGAGAAAAACAAGGAAGAAGTCAGGAAAGCGCTACAGGAAAAATCAAGTAAGATAGATACAGCACTGGAAACAATTCAAAACCTACAGAAAGAGGTTCAAACGATAATAGAATATCAGATATAGACAATACTCTGAAAGGGTAGAGAAGTAGAACAGACGAGATGGAAGGCAGAACCAGTGAGCTGGAAGACAAATCTCTCAATACCACTAAGATAGAAGAACAAACACAAAAAAGGATAAAATTTGAAGGTCTAAGATTCATGTGGACAACATGAAGAGGAATAACTTAAGAATTATTGGCATTCCAAAACAAGAAGAATCACACAAGTCCACAGAGGAAATAGTTGAAGAACTGTTGGAAGAAAATTTCTCTAATATCCTGAAAAGTGTAAAGATAAACATTCAAGAAGCTCAACGAACCTCAGGAAGGTCAGACCCCAAAAGAAAATCACTGAGACATGCCATAATCAAGCACTACAAAATCAAAGATAAGGAGACACTACTGAAAGTAGCCAAGGAAAACAGAAGTGTCACATACAAAGGCAAGCAAGTCAGATAACGCTCAGATCTCTCAGCAAAAACCATGCAAGCAAGAAGGCAATGGGGAGACATATATAAAACCCTGAAAGAAAAAATTGCCAACCAAGAATACTTTATCCAGCAAAGCTAGCAATCAAATATGAAGGTGTGATCAAAACATTCCACCAGGATAAACAGAAGCTAAGGGATTTTGCCAAAGCCAACCCTGCACTACAAAACATCCTAAAGGGAGTTCTGTGGACTGAGAACAGACAAAACCAGAGATTGACATACGTGGCAGCACCTCCCAGAATTAAGTCAATAGAAGGAAGAGTTGAGAACAGAACAAAACAAAATTATAAGAACAAACTCAGATAATATGGAGGTCAGTCTATGGTCAAAACAAGTACAATGTAAAAGAAGGTAAACACGTAGGAATGGAGATCCAGATGGTGAGAAGGTCAGGTAGATTACAGGATAAAATAGACTGCACTAAATGGAGAGAAAAGTTAATGGGCTGTAAAGCAACCTCAAAGAAAATTAATACTTCACAACATACCAAGAGAATGAAAACCCAAGAAGAACATGGAAACATTAAAACTATGAGGACACACACAAGAAAGAACACAGAAATCATGAACTCAACAAAGGAAGACACACAGAACAAAGAAAGCAGCAACACCACAAAAAAAAACCAAAACATACCTATCAATAATTACCCTGAATATAAATGGATGAGATGCACCTGTTAAAAGACAGAGGGTGGCAGAATAGATAAGAAAACAAGATCCTTCAATATGCTGTCTGCAAGAGACACATCTTAAACACAGAGACAAAGATTAAAAGTCAAAAGGCTGAAAAAAATATACCAAGCTAATTGTAATTTAAAAAACGAACAGGAGTGTCAGTACTAATCTTTGATAAAATAAACTTTATGGAAAAAAACAGCATAATAAATAAAGATGAACATTATCTCATGATTAAAGGGACAATTGAACAAGATTAAATAAACATAACAAATATCTATGCACCCAATGAAAGAGCTCCAAAATATATAATGCAATCTCTAATAGATTTGAAGACAGAAATAGATGAATCTACAATAATAGTGGGTGATTTTAATACATCACTTTCAAAAATGGATAGAACAACCAGAAAGAAACTTGACAATACACTTCACTAAACAACACAATCAGCCAACTAGACCTCATAGATGTGTACAGAGCATTCAACCCAACAACTACACAATACACATACTTTTTCCAGTGCACATGAAACATTCTCCAGAATAGACCATATGTTTCTTGCCACAAAACAAGTCTCCATAAATTTACAACTATCAAAATACTACAAATCATCTTCTCAGACCCCAATGCTATCAAATTAAAAATCAACAATAGGAAGACCAAGGAAATCAAGTCAAATACATGGAAACTGAATAACACCCTGCTGAAAAGCGACTGGGTAGTAGAAGAAAT